CTATCCCCTGGGGCCTGTCAGAAGCAAGATTCTGGATTGGAAGAACCAAGGGGCCAACCCCACAATAATCCGTCTTGGCCACCACATTTTCCAAGTGTTTCATTCATTAAGTTACTGGCATCTCCTATCAATCTTTGGAAGAACAAGCATTATTAGGCCGACTTTATGGGCTCAGAGAAGTGTAGTGACTTTTAAATTCATAAAGGTTAAGTCACAGAAGAGGCCAGAATGAGATCCAAGATCTATGGCCTTGGGTTTAGAACTCTCTTCCCTACAACACACAGCCTCCCTCATGTCTGGCTCACGCCATGCCCTTGACCTCTGACCAGCCTACAGAAGTCCTGCCCTGTTCACTCCCCTAGCCCAACAGTCCCAGAGCCACCTTTATCCGATGGTCCTCCACATCCTCCACACTGGCCACTCGAATTAAAGCTGGGTTCCTGCGGTCCACAGCCTCCAGCTTCATGTTGACCAGGAAGCCGTGCGGGGGTCTCTGCAGGGGGACAGCAGTCTTCAGGCCCAGGCCCAGCTCAGCAGAGCCGAGGCCCCAAGGAGGGAGGCCAGGTGCTGTGCCCAGGGAAACTGCAACCATAGCGGGCACCCAGGGCCCCATCCCGGCTGGCTGAGCTCCACACCTTCCTGAGCTGGGCTCTGGCGGCAGGAAGAGCTGACTCACCACCTTGAAGGCCCAGCTGGGCACAGCAGAGGCCCCGGTTTCTTCCAGATATTTCTCCCAACAGAAGCTATCAGGGTCTGGGTAGTCTGGAGGAGAGGATGGCAGCAAAGTCTAGGCACCTCAACTGAGGGAGCTCTCCCCTCCCAGCAGGACCAGGAGCCCAGGAAGGACAGGGGCTGGTGGAGAGAAATCCCTCTGCATCACCACAGCCTGCTCCTCAAAGGGGGCTCCTGAGGCACAAGGGTGCTCATGACCACACAGTTAACAGAGCTGTCTGGGAACCCTGGCTCCCACCCCCCTCCTTGGCTGTGTCGCTCCCGCTCCAGCCCCGGCCCCATCTGAACGCATGTGGTACGTGGGAAGGACACACTTTCTTCTCTCTGGAGTCCTGCTCCCTTCCTGAGGGGAGTCAGCTAACCTTCCTCCCTTCAACCTCAACAGAGCCAGAGTTTGACTGGACTCTCCTAAGATCAAAGGGTTTTCAACTCCCAGGCAAATAAGGCTCCAGGACACATCTGTCTCCTCACCGTGCCCCAGCTAATGAGGTGCTGGTAAGGGACCAGGGGAGAGGGGTGTGGGCCAGGCCCGGGAAAGGGTGTGGGCTCGGGCTGCAGCGTCACCTTGTGGAGGGGTGAGGGGCTTTCCTTGCTTCTGGCACCAGCCCACCGGGTGGATGTAGGGGCTGCTGGGATCACACCTGAAACCCAAGAATGCTTCACTGTCCCAGGTGAAACTTCGAGGCCCTGGGCCTGCTGTCCTAGGACATCATGTCTGTAGGGCCCACCCTTGTTTTACTTCTGAGTGAGGGTCAGACAGATGACTAGAAAGAGAGTCAGAAAATTCCAACAGTAACTAAAAACTGTAACATCACCTTAATATCTCAGGGAAAATCATGGATCACAGGGGTTTGCTTATCTTAACCTTGGTGTTTTTTAGGTGAAACATTCATTGCCATTGTGTTTCTCATGCTCTGGATCAAATCCACAGGACAGTCAATTACCCCCTTGAGCAATATGTCGGGGCTGGGCCAGAGCCACATGGCGCCTTCCATCCCCTCCACGCCCTGTCCCCCGCCCCCTAGGCCAAGTCTGGGCCCTCTCACTACCAGTAGTCATAAGTGTCGTCCCAGTTGTCAAAGTGCACCAGGAAGCGGCCGTCCACCACGTCGGTCACACTGGCCACACAGATGAGGGATGGGTTCATGCGGTCCACAGCCTCCAGCTTCATGCCCACCTGGAAGCCCAGGGGTGGGGGACTCTGGGGGCAAGAAGCACGGCTGCCACGGCCAGGCCCAGACCAGCTAGGGCTGGCCCAGGACCCACTGGCAAAGGAAGAGGAGCAGGTTCCCCGGGGGTCATGCCTGGTGGGTGGGCGGAGGGAGGGCAGGAGAAACAGATTGAGAAAGAGGGTCCCTCCAGGGCAGAATCATAACCCCCAGCCCTGAGCCACTCAGAAACTTCTGGCCTCCAAGGTACTCTTGGAGGAAGCCTCCCTGTGGTAGAAGATGAGTGACGGGGCAGGAGGCTACGCACTCACCCCAAGAGTCTGCCAGGCTGGGTACAAGCCTCCCCTCCCCGGACAAGCTTGGCCCAACTTGGGCTGAGGCAGTTGGGTCAGCAGTGGGGTGGTGAGAAAGGGAGCTGAAGTGAGGCAGGGAGCAGGGAGGGAGTGCAGGGAGGTACCTGCCACGGGTCAGGTGGAAGCTTCAAAAGCCATCACTTCCCTTGATTTTTATAACTACCCTAGGGAGAGGAGTGCATCACCCCATTTTGTAAGTGACTTGCCCACAACCACAGAGCTGGTCAATGGTGGGGCCAGGACTTAAACAGTTTAAAATCTGCATCCCCTGTCACATAAGCTGGTAGAACCCTACCAATCACCTGGGAACCTTTAAGTATGGTCCCTGGGGCCAGACTGGGGCCGGGGAGTAATTGCCCCTGCCTGAACATCATGGTGCAGCCCCTGCCCACGAGGACCCTGGACTTTTCATATGGTGACAGTTTTACTGGGAGCTCCCTCTATCTCTCAGACCTTTGGCTCGAGATTCGGAGATACTTTAACTGTGAGTAAAGTATCTACAGCTGGCTGCCTTAAACAGAGAGTGAGTGTTGGGACCGGATGGGAGAGCTTCAGTGTTGGTCAAAAGGAAGGAAAAAGCTGCTCCCAGAACAGAGGCTTGTACCTGACACCAAGAGCTGCAGAGAGATCCACGCAAGAAAGAACAATGATATCCCAGCGCCTAGGCTCCGAGAGGATACGCGGAGGAGAGGATTTCAGCAGTAGGTGGAGGGAGGGCACTGGGGAAACCAGCTTCCCCTTCAGGCCCATGGCCTGCCCAGTGGGCCCCTCCCCTCTGGTCTAAGATTGGAGCCCAGCTGAGAGCACCAGAGGGGCGAGCACTCTCTGCTGAGTCAGGTTCCCTGGCGGCTGCAGGGACTCTGTCCTAGGGGCGTGTCCACTTGCTGGGGGCACTCACGTGGCTCTGGCTCACAAACAGGTGCTTGGGGGCAGCCTGAGCTCTTGTGCTGCGCAGGTACTGGCTCCAGCTGAACTCCTCCTCCTTGTAACCTAGGCCCCTCGGGGGGATGAACAGAGCACTGTGCAGACAGAGGCTGGACCGTGGCGAGGGCACCCCACACTGAAGTAGCAAGATCAGGCAGGCCTGAGGACCCCACAACCCTCAAGAACCTGCCAAGGGACCCCCTGCCAAAGCAGGACACAACGTGGGTGGATGCTCAAAGAGCCAGGGTGGAGTGGAAGCCCCGGGGGCCAAGTCATAGAAGGATGAGATGCAGAGAGGCTGGCTGTGCAGCGGGAACAAGGAAGGGGGCACCTCAGGGGAGAAGGAACGGGTCTGTGGGCTCACTGCCTCACTGGGACCAATCTGGCTAGGCCTTACCTTTGGGAGGCTGCAGCTTGTGCCCTGTCTTCTCGAACCAGCCAGCGGGATGAATGTCAGGAGAGTTGGCATTGATCCAGAAGTCGTGGCACTCAGAATACCCATCAAAGTGCAGACGCAGGCGGTAGCCACACACCTAGCCCCGTAAGGGGGAATCACAGGGCCGCTGATGCCAGCAGACTTGCCACTACCCTTCCCTCAACTCTCCTGGCACAGCCTGGTGGTCGCAGGGGCGCTGGTGCAAGCAGGTTCCCCACCCCACCCCTCCTCACACTCAGGTTTCCCCGCATCCTGAACTCTGCCCCACAATCCCCTCATTACTCATACTCATTAATGAGTAATGAGTCCTTGTACTCATTAGCCCTGAGCTCTGGGCACAAGACAGGCAGATCCTGTGACATCCTCCTGCTTCTGCTGAGCCCTGGACAGAACCCCGAGGGTACCGATCAAGGCTCAGGCCTACATGGGGGGCCCTCAGGACCTTTCCTTCTGCTGCCTTTTCTCATGGCTAGGACCTCGGGGAACTGACAGTGGATCTTTGAACATAGTGCCCTGTTCCGTGCCCCGGGGCTTGTGCTCAATGCCTCTCATGCCTGGAACACCCTACTCATTCACAGCTCATCTCTCAAGACTCAGCAAAGGAGACCCTCCCTCTGTGAAGCCACCCCTACCCGCTCAGCGCCCCATTGTCATCACCCCGATGCTGCGTCACTGTTTATATGGCTGATTTCCACCAGAGCTGTGAGCTCCTAGGAGGACAAGGACCTTGCTGGACTCATGCCACCATCTCCGCCCTGGGGAATGTTCTTCCTCAGGAACATCACCACCCCAACACGTCGCCTGTTTTGGGTCCATTTATTAGCTTTCTGTGTGTTCCACCTCAATCCCCTATTACACTGTGTGCTTTTGAGGGCAGGGCAGTGTCTCCCTCACTTGAGCCCAGGCCCTCTGTGCCTCCCCGGCTGGCCCCTTCCATCCAAGCCTCAGCTCACCTCAGCCACGGTGAGGATGAAGTACATGGACGGATGCTGAGGGTCGATGCCTTCCAACTTCATGCCCAGTCTGAAGCCATTCTTGTTATGAGTGACCGCCTGATACTGTCAATGCACAGATGGGAGAAGACCCAGCTTCCCTCAGGCCTTATCCTCGCCCAGTGGGCTTGGGGTGAAGGAACTGCCTTTGGGCCCCACCTGCCTGGTACTATCAAAGGGATAATTTATCTGGGGAGCTTTCATGCAGGGATCCAAAACAGGATAGACTAGCTCCCAGATCCCTCAAAGAACGGACTTCAGGGCTCCCTCTTACCCAAGTCATGGAAAGACCAGTGTATGGACTTGAGTAAAAAGCACCAGAATTCAAAAGTTTGCAAGCCCAGGGATGGGTGAGCCTGGAAACCCCTAACAGTGAGCCCTTTTCTACTCTGGGCCCCTGATCAGTTTCCCCCGCTTCCCTTATGCCAGTCCTCTGAGGGACGTCAGGCATGGAAAAGACCAGAAGGCCTGAGTTTGGTGATGAGTCCCTGGACTGGGAAGGTAAGTTCTTCCCAGGTGGAAACTGTCCAACTCACATCCTTGAAGAGGCTGACAGGGGCAGTGACGGCCTTCTGCTCCTCAAGGTAGGAGTCCCACGACCAGCCTTCCTTCTTCTCCCTGGGGGCTGTGGACAGGAGATGGACAGGCTGACCCCCGGGCTGCTCCGCGAGTACCACTCTCCTAAGTTCCCTTGACCCAACTCGACCTGAACCTCCAAATCAGACCTTGTCTGTGATCACAGGCTGCCCTCTGGTCCCTCGCAGACATGATGATGCCAGGCCCAGGGGGCCCAGGTGAGAGTTATCTCAGGTGAGGCCGCACAAAATTCTGCCCACCCGCCCCTACCCCTAGGCCACTGTCAGCAAAAGCACATACAGCAACTAACTGAGGTTACAGTCTCAGCCACAAGGGACCCTGTTTAATGACAAAGCTGAGTGACAAGTGTTGAGTCAGAGGACTTAATCATAGTGTCACCCAGGCTCACTGGGAAAGAAGAGGGAAATGTAGAAAGAGGAAGAAACAGAGAAGATCACACAGAAATGAGAAACTCCCTTTATCCAATTCTTCTTCCCCTGAACACAGACAGGCACACACAGGGACACAGGTGTGTGTACGTGTGCTTGGCGTGCCCACAGAGACTGAGTCCACAATCCCACCACCGACACACACGCCGTGCACACAAACACACACTCACAAGCACACGCTATGGTCAGGGCCTGGGGAGGGGGAGATGAATTTCCCTGGAGGACCTTCAGTTTAGCCTGAGAGGGAGTCCTGGCCTCCAGCACAGAGGAGAAACATCCTTTAAAGATGGGAAGAGCTGGCACCATGTAAGGAAGGCCCCCAAGGTAAGTCTGAAAAAATTCACAAAAATCGGCTTGACTAAATAGCTCCAGCTTCTTCTAGAAACTTCCATGCTTCAATTTTGTCATCTGTCAAATGCAAATCACTCCATCTACCCCAGAGGGTCGTTAGGGAGACTAAGGGCTAGTACCATGTTTTGCCGACTCGGAACTCTTAGGTGAGCTGTTGTGAGTAAAAATCTTCATGAAATACTTGGTCCCTCCTAAGTCTCCACTGACCTGGATTCCAGCTCTGCCTCGCCCTGGCTCACTTGGCTTCTGCTCCAGGTCATTCAGGTGTGGAGTGGTTTGTCACTCAGGAGGAACCTTGTTTCCTGAGTTGGAACCTCTGTGACTCCCAGGAGCTGCCTAAATTCCCCAGTCACTCTACTGAACCTCAAGATCCCAACCATCTGATCCAGTTGGGCCAAAGCCAGTACTGTCTTCATCAACAGATGGACCGAGGCGGGAAACTCTCTCAGAGATCTGCACCGACACAGCAGCCTAGAGCAGCCCTCTTCCTGCTCCTCTCTGTCCTGAGTGAAACGTGGGTTGGTCCTTAGACAATATCACCCACTATGGTCCCTCAAGAAGCCCTCCTCATCCAGACTGAGTAAGGGGAGGGGAACAGAGGAGGCTTCAGGATGCCAGCTTAGCATCACGTTGCTGTTTCTGGCCACCGGAATTCCACATCATTCTGGAGAATACCTCTTTACTTCCTCCAAATCACCACTACTATCACCAATCCCTTTACAACGCCCATTTCTATCTCTATACATATCATTTTTCTTTTTGCCTCACTCTTCCCAAACTATAGCAAGCCAAGGAGCTGGCCATTTGTCAGATATCTCATATCAGGCACCTGGGCTCCGCCTTGGCTCTTTAATTCTGAGTACCTGCATGCCTCTGTGTATTTCTGTGCCTTTGCACATGCTGATCTCCCTGCCTCAAACATTCTGCCCCAACCCTGTTCCATCCTCTTATCTTTCTGTCATTCATCAGACCCAGCCATATCTCTGGCACCTAGCATAAGGTTTTACAGAGAATAGATGCTCATCAAATGTTTGATGAATGAATGACTAGAGGGATGGAGGGATGGATGGATGGATGCATGAATGGATGCACTGAATGCATTCCACCTACTCCAAGGAGACTTCCTTAACTACATGAGGAGGAGTTTGTTCTGTGACAGCCCTTGGTATCTATATATCTCAAATATAACACTAATTACACTATTACAACATAACTACATAGCTCTCTCTGCAATGAGATTGTGAGCTCTTTAAGGGCTAGTATGTGTTTTGCCTACTTGGAACTCTTAGCATCTGGTTTAGTATCTGATACAAAACAGGCACTTAGTATCTGTTAAATAAAAGGGCAATCATGGAAATATGACATATCAAAAACTGTGTGGGAATATAATGTGCAGTATGGTGATTATAGTTAATAACACTGTATTGTATATTTGAAAGTTGTTAAGAGAGTAGATCTCAAAAGTTCTCATCACAAGAAAAAAAACTGTAACTATGTGTGGCGATGGATGTGAACCAGACTTATTATGGTGATCATTTCACAACATATACAAATATTGAATCATTATGTTGCACATCTGAAACTAACATAATGTTAATATGTCAATTACATCTCAAAAAACAAAAACAAAAATAAAAACCTCTGTGACATGCAGCCAAAGGAGTACTTAGAGGGAAATGGCAGCTTTAAATGAACACGTTAGAAAAGAAAGACTGAATTAATTAAATCTGAAAAATTAATCTGTCTCATGAAGTTAGAAAAAGAAAGGTTAAATAAGCCCAAAGAAAACTGAAGAAAGAAAATTAAAAAGAAAAGGCAATAAAATTAATAAGGCTCTAACAAGACTGATTAACAAACAGGGAGAGTGGCTAAGGGAAAAGGCGAGACGTTGGTCAAAGGGTACAAACTTCCAGTTATAAGGTGAATACGTTCTGGGGATCTAATGTACAGCCTAGTGATTACAGTTAATAATACTGTATTCTGTACTTGAAACTTGCTAAGGGAGTAGATCTTAAATATTCTCACCATTTAAAAAAGCTAATTATGTAGCATGATACAGGTAACACTATGGTGGTAATCATTTTGCAATGTATAAGCATATCAAATCAACATGTTGTGCATCTTAAACTTACACAATGGTTTATGACAATTAGATCTCAATAAAGTCGGAAAAAAAGAAGAGAAAAGGCACAAATAATAATAAGAGAAATTTTTAAAGGGAGATCATTATATACACTGCAGACTTCAAAAAGGGGATTTTATGGGGATAAGGGGATATTATGAACAATGTGACACTGATGAATTCTCTTGTTAATCACCCAGTGTTAAGCCTACCTCTGCACGCTAGTGAAATTGCTCTCCTGAGTCCCCAGGGACACAATCCAATAACCATTTCTTATTCCTTAACTCTCTTGATCTCCTTGTTCTACCAACCACCCGTTCTATCTCAGTATTTCCTTTTGCTGCACTTTCTCGGCTGTATCTTCCACCTCTTCTGCTTCGGTTACTGGTTCTTCTTTCTCCCACCCCAACCTGCTCACTTAAGGAAGGATCCCTAGAAATCAATTCAGTATTTCCCTCCCATCTTCTCTCTAGAAGCTTCCTCAGCATGGCTTCCGTTGTTTCAGTAGATAATTTACAAATTAATGGTCCTAGCCAGACCTTTCACTACAAGGTCCATAGGAAAGACAGAGAGTGTAAAGAGAAGAACAGAACACCATGGTTCAAGAACAACAAATGACAAGCAGTCATCAAGGTGCCACTGTGTGTTGTGTCTTTTTGTTTTAAATTGTTACAGATACATCTCTGTATTTACCTACCTCTTACAGAGTGTAGCTAGCCAATTCATAATCAATTCATTTTAAGACTGAATGCTTAATCAAGAGCCTGGTACTTGTGTGCAACGAGTACAAGGGATCTATGCCTCAGAGCACCAAACTCAAGAGGCTGGGCCCCGTAATGCTATGATCTACTATTTACCAGGCCTTCAGTTTCTAGGGAGTCTGGACGCTCTTCAAAATCTAATAAACCATGAATGACTGAAAAATTGTGCTGAACACTGGAATTTGACACAACATTGTAAAATGATTATAAATCAATAAAAAATGTTAAAAAAAAACAAGTTTATACTATATAGTGCAGGGAAGTATATTCAGTGTCTTGTAGTAGCTCATGGTGAAAAAGAATAAAAAAATGAATATATGTATATTCATTCACGTATGACTGAAGAATTGTGCTGTACACCAGAAATTGACACAACTTTGTAAGCTGACTGTAACTCAATAAAAAATAATAATAACAAATTTAAAAAAAATCTAATAAAAGCCCTGGACCATCCCTATAAAAAGTGAGCAATTCACAGAATTTTGAATGGAAATTTAGATTAGGGACCTCAGTTAAGAAGGCACTGCTGTAAGAGGCATACTGATCAATGTCTTGTACTGAATCACACACTCATATTTTCAACATGTTCCCCAACTCCCCATGGCACTCCTTGTATTTTGATAGAAAATGTGTTTGTTACAACTAATTTGAAAACGGCAAGGATCTGAATAAATATTTCTCCAAGGAAAATATATAAATGGTTAATAAGCATATGAAAAGATGCTCAACATCAACAGCAATCAGGGAAATGCAAATCAAAACCACAATAAGATACCACTTCATACCCACTAGGATGGCCACAATAAAAAAAAAGATAAGAATAAGTGTTGGTGAGAATGTGGATAAACTGGAATCCTCACTACTGGTAGGAATCTAAAATGGTACAGCCACTTTGCAGAACAGTCTAGAAGTTCCTTAAAAGGCTAAGCATAGAGTTACTATATGACCCAAAAATTTCACTCCTAGGTATATACTCAAGAGAAATGAACACTTATGTCCACATAAAACTTGTACACAGATGTTGCAAGAAGCATCATTCATAACAGCCCCAAAGTAGAAACAACCTGTATATTCATCAATTGATAAATAAAGTGTGACATGTGCGGAATATTATTCAGCAATAAAAAGTGATGAAGTACTGATGCATGCTACATCATAGATAAACCTTGAAAAACACTGTGCTAAGTGAAAAGAGCCAGTCACAAAGGACTACATGTTATATGATCCCATTTATATGAGATGTCCAGAACAGGCAAATCCATATGTACAGAAAGTAGACTGGTGGTTGCTAAGGGCTGGATGGGAATTGGTGGTTTGGGGAGAATGACGGCTAATGGGTACAGGGTTTCTTTTTGGAGTGATGAAAATGTTTTAAAGTTGATTGTGGTGATGGTTATACAATTCTATGAATAGACTAAAAACCACTGAATGGGTGAATTGTACAGTATATGAATTACATTTCAATAAAGCTATTAAAAAGCTGTTTCTTATAAAAATACATATAAAGCACTAGCTTAAAAAATGGATTAATTAGACATTGTCAAAACGAAAACTATCAGCTTCTCAAAAGACATCATTCAGAAGGGAAAAGAAAAGCTAGTCACAGACTGGGAGAAAATATTTGTAATATATACATCTGACAAAGAACTTGTAGCCAGAATACATAAAGAATTAACAGTAAGATGATAATGCAATTAAAAGTGGGCAAAAAAACTATAAGGAACACCAGGATGCTTGTAGCATTGCTCTGAATCTGAAAAGGCTATATGTAACAAGTTGATCCTGAAGCATGCCACTGCAGATCTGGACGCGGGCAGAATGAGAGCTGACATGAGAATATAACTAACTCTTAAAATGATCAGAACAGCTATTAATGACTGCATGAGCTGTAAAGACTTTTGCAATGGTATGTTAGAAGACAATCCTTCACACAGAACGGTTGAAAAGGTGAAGGAGATAGATGAGAGAGAAGGCCTGCATTTGTACATGTTACAGGGTTCTAATTCTTCAACTATCGGAACATTCCATCAGGACTAGATGCGTCAGGTCTGCAGAACATGAATCCAATAGAGTAGCCATCAAATGCCAAAAAGAGTGTAGACAAAACATAGATTCTCCACATATACAGGACACTCAAGCAGCCCTGCCACCCTCTCCCCTGCCCTCAGACTCTTCTGCCAAAAGACCCCAAAAATGAGTGGAAAAAGATTTCAGTCATAAATGCAAATTTGTCTACTGATAAAATTTCTTCTCTTGAAAAAAAGGCAGAAGAGGGAAAATATCCAGAATCAATACCACATTAATGTTCACAGTTGAGATGGTGAGATGTGCAAATCAAAATACAACTTTGGACTGGTCAACAGGACCCAGCTAAAAGAATGCTGGTTTATGAATGTATTTCCTTAAGTAAGATAGAGCAGTCGAGCCAATAGTAGTTAGATACTAACTCCTTCTTCTGTTAAGACTTAAGAGGCCATAAACCAATGAGAGCTAAGACTTGGCTTCTGATGTGATAGCCTTGGGTGAGAGAGAGCAGTGAAAATCTGGTTTGGCAGAATATGGAATAGGCACTATAGAGTTTAGAGCCCTGGACACAGAATGGACTCCTTGGGCTGGCATTGCCATCAAGGCAGAATGATGTCCTTGGACTGACCTCACCCTCTGGCTCTCTCTGGGACAGGAAAGACAGTGACTCATGCCACCGAGCCATGTTCTGAGAGGAACCACCAACATATAACTCATCCATTCCTCTCTCTACTGAACATTTATTGAGAATCTACTCCACACTAGCCTCTGGGATATTTACCAGGGATACAGTGATTAATAAAATAGATTCAGTTTTGAGGGAGGAAGACAAACATTGCTACAAAGTGTCTAGGTGATTATTAGTGTGATAAATGCTACTTGGCTCCAGTTGGCCGTTGTCACATGGGAATGTGGAGATGGTAATGGAGAAGACCTCAGGGCCAGAGCTGACTACAAACGACCTTTTTCCATTTTTCTTAGAACCAAAGAGTCAGACTGGAGGCCCAAATAGCAGGGTCGGACCAATGACCAGAATGGACTTGCTCACACCATCAAGGGGAAGCAACACCACGTGGTGCCATTAAAGGCTGCTCAAGTCTTCGGATACTAAGCCTGGCAGTAGGACCTACTCACAACTGGATAATAGACAAACACACGGTATAATCCCTATGAACACACATATACTAATACATAAACCAGAAACACTCTCTCATCCACACATGCTGACTCATGCTTGTCTGTACGTACAACACACCATCACAACGGTAACCCACACTCCCAGCCTTACACCTCCAAAGGTGTATACATACATCACACGAATATATATACACAGGCCACCATACCAGGCTGGCTGCTGTTCCACTCCTCACTTTCTGGGGTGCTAGCGGTGGGTTGTCCCTCTGGATCTTTTTCTTCTTCTTGCTTCTCCTGTGAAAGGCAAGCCTGATCCCAGCTTCCTGTCCTCATGGGTCAGCATGGCCCCTGCCTAGCTCTTGGACCACATGGTGTTCTGCCCCAAACAAGTGGAATCTCTTCTAGGCCACCAGCAGGAACACAGCTCCAGCAGACAACCCCCTACTACTTGGGCACAGAGTCACTTGAGCACACACCCCCTGGCTTCACAGCCTGACTACAATTCTCCTTATTCTCAGGTGCGGAAACTGAGGACATAAATACCTGCTCGGTGCTGATTTTACCTGCCCAGTGGAACTTTCATGCTATGTCTCCTCCAGATTCTCTGCAACTAGAGCCCCGTGCTCCCTGGCCTCTGGCCCGGTGGCTTGGTTCTAGTGATGAAGCTTTCCACCTGCCTTCGCATCTACTTGGGTGCTTGTTCATGTGCATATGACTTAGCCCTGCCACTAGACCGAGATGTGAGCTCTAGAAAAACAGGAGAGTGATTTATTCATTTCTCTCTAACCAAGTACAGGACCTGACACAGGCTGGGACCCCAAAAGATGATGAATGAATCATTATGTGTCTTCTTTGGCCCAGTCCCATGGCCTGGGTTAATGGAGGGAACAGTGGGGATTGAGGTACAGCCTCTAGCCTTCCCCGTCCCTCCCCACTGCCCTCTTCCTACCATGGCCTCTGGTTCCGACTCCTCCTCGGATGGGCTCTGATATTCCTTGCGCTTCCTCTTCTTCATTGGTTTCAGGAGCTCAGAAGCATTGGTGCAGGAGTTGCTCTGGCCTGAGTTCTCCACTATGACTGACCTGAGGGAGGGGCAGCCTGAAGGAAGAACCACCCACCCTGCACCACCCACCCCTTCTCCTAAGCCCCCTGCAAGAGTGGGGCCCTAAGGGCTCCAAAGACAGAGAAGTAGGGCTGCAATTCCCCTCACCCCCAACCCTCACCGCTCCTGGAACAGCTGGGGACAGCCATCACTGGAGGAACCAGGATCTGGACCAGCGCCTTGCTGAGGCCCACACGCCTGGCATTGGCAGGTGCCATCATCCTCTGGTGGGTCCTGAGGGGGATCTTCTGGAGGGTTCTGAGGGAGGTCCGCTGCGGGGGGAGGGGGAGCCAAAGGGGCCTCAGGCCTCCCGCCCATCACTGCCACATTCCGGCTCCGCCCACTTAGGGGCCCACGCCCCCTCAGGCCTGGCCTCCACCTTGGTCCCGCCCCCCTCGGGATCCACTACTGGACAGCACCCCCTTCTTCGCCAGAGGACCAACCTGTGGATGTGGGTGCACCTGCAGGAACCCAGGTCACGCCCCCTCGGGCCACACCCCTGGCCTTGGCTCCTCAGGGAGCTCAGGGTTCCCCTCACCCACGCAGTGGCCCAGCTCCGGGCCTGGGGCTCGTACCCGGCTGTTGGGACCCCGCATCGTCACCTCCCGCAGGGGCCTCGCCATCTTCGCACTCAGCCACGCCTTCCTGCCGCAGTTCGGGGCTCGGGGGCTGCTCCGCTCCCACCATGTTCGGCGGCGCGTACTCGCTTATCCGGAACTGGAGCGCGGAAGGGTCTGAGTACCGGGACTCCTGTACTGGCCCTTGACCCACCCTAGTCAGCACGGTACCCCTCCCGCCACCTCACTCCAAGCCACGCCCCCAGAACCCATTCCCCCACAAGCCACGCCCCTAGGACCCCCAAATGTCCTGGAAGCGCCGCACTCCAAGCCACGCCCCCAGAGTCCCTCACTCCGAGCCCCACCCCTAGAATCCTCCCTCTCGGCTAGCTTCCCCACCTTCCGCTTCAGGCCCCGCCCCTGGGCCCACAGGCCCCGCCCCACAGCTGCTGGGCCTCACCAATCTCCACAGACACTGACCCGCACGCCACTCCCAGAAGGCGGGGCCGCGGCCTCGGTCCACTCTAGGAGCCTCACTGTGCTGGTGCTGGAGCTGGCCGTTGGCCCCGCGCTTAACTGCGGCAGAACGGTGGCCGTGATAGGTACGCTGGCAGCCACTCGCTCCGGGGCGCCCATACGGATCGGTTCCCGCGGAAAGCAGGACACATCCAAGGCACTGCTGGGCAGGCCAAGGGTGGTCGAGCTGGCTGCGAACAAATATACGGACAGACTCGACATAGGTGAGCCGGGTGGCCCTGCCCCAATCCTGCCATGCATGTGTGCAGACAGGTGAAAAGTATCATCTCGCCAGGACCCACATCAGTTTGGGCAGGTATGGATGCTCTCCTCCCAAGACCTCTTGCATGGCCCACCTGGAATGATGAAGGCAGTAGCCGGCAGGTGAGAACCGGAACCTGGGCTGTCTCTGGCCACAAGGTGAACGCTGACCTCCCCTGTGGAGGGCCCCTTCAGTGTCCTCAGCATCTCCATTTCAGCATGCCCCTCCATCCTGGTAGGCCTACAATTGGAACATAGCCCCCAGGGCGATCAGGGAGGGGAGGGGCCTATTTGAGGAGGAACTGCCCACCCACAGTGAAAAGCCTCAGCCCTGAGGGACGTCGGGTGTATTAGGAGCCCAGCATCAAGTGTGGCTCCTGGCTCTCACCTGGTCACCCAGGCTCTGGCCAGGCCCTGCACCTCCCCCGGACTCTGTAATACGAATGAACGTGTGTGACGGTGTTTTGTAAACTGATGACTGACTCTAGGAGTGTGTCTCAGGCCAAGATTCTGTCTGGACAGCTGTCTTATGATACAGCCCAGGCCAAGTCCAAACTTCCGTCTTTCTCAATCCGCAACTCCATCCCCACTAGAATCATTCCCTTCTTTCTCTGGGGATTCAGAGCCCTCAAGTACCAGATTCTCCATCACTCAAACAGGTTCATTTTCCTAGGAGGTGAGCTTTTATGCTACCTACCCACCACTTCCTCCATCCCAAGCACAGAGTGGGCACTCAGACATCTGTTGAACAAATGTATGCATATGAAGAGCATCTTTGTATGAGAACCCAGGCAGTGTATGATTTTACATTTCACTGCCACCGTGCTGGTCCCACCGACAGAAAGTTCTCCTTGGACTCTGAAATTGCCTCCTAATCCATCTCTCTGCTTCCTCTCCTGCCCCTGCTACAGTCTATTCTCCAGTAAGAGAAAGCTTTAAAAATGTAAACCAAATCACGTAATTCCCCTATCTAAAATTCCCCAGTGGCTCTCAATTGCCCTTAGAAAAAAATCAAAGTGCTTTACCTCATAGAATCCGACCTCTGTCTTCCTCTCTGACCTCATCCTCCACCACTCTTCACCTTGTTCTCTACCCTCGACAGACTCTGGTTTCCTTCTATTGCTTGACAAACGTTCCCACTTCAGAGCCTTTGCCCTCGCTGTTCGTTCCAACTGGAATGTTCTTCCCAAGCTCTCTATTTGGCTGCCTCCTTCCCCATTCACCACCAGGTTTCAGCTCAGCAGTCACCACTCCCAGAAGAGGTCTCTCCTGACCACTCAGTTTAAAGTAGCACACCCCTCATCCCATCTCACTACCACTTATCTCATTACTGTGTAGATTTCCTTTACGTCCATCACTATAATCAGTAATGATCTTCATTTACTTATTTCTGTTTGATCAGTCTTCCCCATGTAAATGTAAGTTCCTCAAGGGCAAAGGCTTTATCCGTCCTGTCCACTGCTACATCCCTAGCACTTAGCATAGTCTGGCATACAGTAGGTGCTGTATTGGATTTCAGTCATTGGAGCTGGTTAATAAAAAGCAGTGCATGAATGATACTTGGTTGCTTTCAGGTGTTAGCAGTGCTTGACAATGGCTTCTGGCATACAGGTTAAAGGAAAGAACATAGATGGAGGCTTAAGACAGACTTAAGTCTGTTTGAATCTCAGCTCCCATTCTTAATACCTGTCATTCTGAGTGAACAGCTTACCCTTCCCGAGCCTCAGTTTCCTCATGTGTAAAATGAAGGTGGTAATGGTATCTATCTCAAAGGGCTCAGATGAAAATTAAGCAGAAAAAATATGTAGTCTTGATACCAACAGACCTTCAACAAATACCAATTCGCTCCCTTTTAACAGAAATTTTGAGGAGCTTGGTAGCCCCAGTAACATATAAGCTGCTTGCTGGCAAAATGAGCTTACAATGGTTGCTGTCTTTCCCACCCTCCATTCCTCCCTCCTGCTGTTCCTGTGCATTCATTTATCTTCTAGCTTTTCTTCCCTAAAATACAGAGCACATCCTCTAAATATAGAATGTGTAATCAGGTAGGCAAAGTCTTAGATATATAACCTAATTAATGAAGGCAACATTCAAACCAAGATTTATTGTCCCCCTTTGAAAAAATTATAAAATAGCATTCCTTGAAATTCAATTCCAATTATTTTGCTTTGCACAGCTGACATAGTTGTACCCCTTTAAGTTCTTTTAAATAGAGTTAATCTTTTTATTCAAAACATTGTCAGTCATTAGGAGTGAATGTGGTTACTCCTGAAAGAATTCCATTCTGTCTCAAAACCTATCCTATACTTCGGGTCTGTCAAGGGAGGGTGGCTGAGAGAAATGCCCTTCTGTTCAGGTTTCTGCCCTTCGCTCAGCAGACACTGGAGAGCCAATTAGGTGTCAGCATCCTTTTGTGCCCTGGGAATGGTCTCAAACAAGAGAAAGTGCTCTCATGAAGCCTATATTCTAGAAATAAGGGATAAGGTTGAGGCTGGAGATAAAAATTTTAAAACCACTGGGTACAGATAGCAGTGAAAACCATAGAACTGAGTATAAAGGAAAAAGTGGGAACCTTGGAGCTCATCAAGATTTATTGGTTGGGAAGAGGGAAAAGATCTAATAAAAGAAACTGAGAAGGAGCCTATAGTGAGATGAAAGGGCATCCTGAAGCATCTGGGCTTCTGGAAGACTTTTGGGAAGAAAGTTTCTAGAAAGTGGGACTGCTCAATGGTGTTAAATGCCACTGACAGATCAAGTTAGATGAGAGCTAAGAACTGACTATTTTAACAATATGGAAGTCATCAGAAATCTTGACAGAAGCCATTTCAAAAAGGGCTGTGGACACAAGAATCTGATCAGAGTGGGTTCTAGAGAGAAATCATAGATTAGTTCAATTTACTGAGCACCTACTATGTGCCAGGTATTATGCTAGGCAATGCAGATTTGTAGTAAACTAAACAGACAAAAATCTCTATTATAGAGTCCGCATTCTAGTGAGGAAACTGACACTAAGAACTGGTCCTTGTAGGGGGATGGGAGAAAAGGAAGTGGAAACAATGGGACTAACAACTCTTTGAAGAAGTCTTGATGTGAAGGAGAACAAGGATGTGGGGGTTGGTATTTGCACAGCAATGAGGTTTCAAGGAAGGGGTGTTTTTTGCTTTGTTTTTTAAATAGAAGATGCCACAGCATGTTTGTAGCTGATGAAAATGAGCCTGTAGAAGAAGAAACTGACAGAGCAAGGGAAAAAGAATAATTCTAGAAGACAAGTCCTTGACAGTGCAGGAGAGGAGAGAACCCAGGGCACCTGTGTTGTTTGGACCCATCACATGTGGCTGTAAGCTCCTGGTTAGCAGCACCTACTGTTTCTGTTTCCCCTCAGCTTGACCATTAACTTTCCTGAGACTAGGAACTACCTTCTAGGTGATTTGAATTCACCTCTACCACTACCACCCCCCAAATTTGCAGCTCACACAGAATTTTCATAAGCTTTGTTCCACTGGGTCCACACAGCAGCACAACCAGTCTGACATAGCTCCCAGGCCTGAGTCTGATACCAGGAATCCATCCACTCCCCCACTGCAGCCTGGTCACATCTTCAGAATGCCACTTCTGTGGCCTCTGCGCATGCTGTTCCTTCTGCTTTGTACTTTTCCACTTCCCACACATCTGGAAAATTCCTGATCATCCTTCAAAATCCAGCTTGAGTGATACCTTTTCTCTGTAGCCTTTTCAGAATCCACCCCCAAAACAAAGTTAATCACTCCCTCTACTGTTTCCACTCCACCACAAGCTAACTATGGCATTAACTTGTCTGTCTTCCCTGGAGACAGAACAAAGCACCAAAGAACCTGATCCAGAGATGGCATCCACAAATAGTCAGTAAATGAATGAAGGAAAGAGAGCTGGGAATAAAGAGTGGTCAATAACAGAAGAAATCCATAAATGGCTTAGCCATTCTTGCCTTAGGGGCTAGAATACTGTTTCCTCCTGTGTCACTCACAGGCAGGAAGAAGAGATAAAGTGGGAGGTCCCGGCTACTGTGCAGGTTGTCACTGGCAGCCCTCAGCTATCAGCTCCTCTCTGAATTGCCCTCAGCCAGGGGAGCTGCCTCGCCCAAGTGCCCTCTCCTGGAAGCAGCTATCCGCTGACTAGTTTATATGGGGTATAAAGGCCCCGCCCTCTTGCCTCAATTTGGGACTTCTCTGCAGGGCCATCTCATTTCCAGAACGTCCCGACTTCCCTTGGGATAGGTGGAGGCCTCTGCTGAGACTACATCAGCAGTTTAACTTCTTTCTCTGCCCAACAACGCTGCTGTCTTCACTCCCCTACAGGTGATATTCCCAAAGGCACCCTGATAAACCTATACTCAAACCTCCTTCTCAGAGTCTGTTTCCAGGGAACCCGACCTAAAACAACCGTTGGATCCCCAGCCCAGATTCGTGTCTGGCACATAGCAGATGCTCAATAAATATTTATTGAGCCAATGGGTCCGTGTTTATTTTCTCTTGGTCTGTCTGCCAAGGCTTCCCCCAACCCCTTGCCCGTCAAGGCCTCGCATACAACAGAGGCTCAATAAATGCCCTCGCTCTAGGTGTCGGGGTGGGGAGCTACCACCCCAGACAGATAACTCCCAACACCCCCAACACACGCTCCACGCCTCAAGTGAGCGTCGCGAACTTGGGGCGTCGGCCCCGCCCCCCGCCGCAGCTGCGGCGGGAACGCAGGAGGGATGGTTCCAGGATCAGGACCGCCACCCGCCTTTCGAGTCCTCCTGGGTCTAGTGTAGACCGCGGCAGGCGGGGCGGTCACTGATCCGTTCGCCCCGCAGAACGGTTACTTTTTAAAACGCCAAAATGGCGGAATTCTTTTTATTCTTTCCCTTTATGCCAAAATAATAACAATAATTCAATTTTCCGTTATAAAAAAATCGGAAATTAACGGTATGAAGGAGAAAGTTTGCCAAATGACCCATTTCCTAAGAGAACCCAAACCCCGCCCTCTGTACCCTCTCTTCTATTCATGAAAAACTCTTAATTGATTGCACTTCTCTAAAAGCCAAGCCGCCTCTCTCCCACCCTGCTGATAGCCGCCAGCAGCAGCAGCAGCAGCACGGCGGACGCCTCGTCTCGCCCTCGAGCCCCGCACCCGCCCAGACCCCTTGCACTCTGGTTCTCCCGAACCTCCTCCCCGGCCAGTGCCCTTCGCCGGAGGCGCTGGGGAGGAATGAAGCCTCGGGGCCGCAGACTCGAGCACTCGCCGTGCCGGGCAGAGCCGGGCGGCGCGGCGCCCGCACCCCGAGGTCCCTACCTGCAAGGCCCGCGTGCGGCCGCCCAGCGCCAAGCTGCGGTCCGAGCGCCGCGCCGCGCGCGCCTGCGCGCACAGGGTTGTGGGGGGGGGGCTCGCCTCCCCGCAGGACGCGGCGTTCGGACGGCGCGCGGAGCAGATTTTGGGGCGCAGGCCGAAGGCCCTCTTGCCAGGCCCGGGCCTCGTGAGCCTAATGTCCTCTAGCCCCCGGACAGATTGCTGCGCAGGCGAGGCGGTTCGAGATTCTCCCTGTTCTCCACCCCCAGCATCACAGCCAGCAGCGCGCAGCGGGGCGCGGGGACCAGGGAGCCGGAAGAGAGAGCCTCGTGGGCCCCCGAGCTGAGTGGTCAGTGACAAAAGATGAGGCTGCCCTCCCGCACGCACCCCGGACGTGCTGCGCTGTCCAGTGCCTTCCCACAGCGCCTGCTCCCTACCTGAGAAGGGGAGCCAAGAAGCGTTAGAAAACAACCTCAGGGCGGGTGAAGGGCCGCGCGACCAGAGGAAAGGAAGCCCCGCGGGGCGTGGGTTTCGATCCTGTCCCTGGTGGGCAGACGCGCCTGCGTTTGGGTGACCCTATTGCCATTGGCTCGTGATGTGACCTGTATCCTCCTGGTTCTCCATTTTTCCGTTTGTAAAGACTATCGCCTATTTCATGGCATAGAATTTTTTTTTTCCAATAACGGTACCTGGGGTGGTGTGGCCTTGAGCAAGTCATTACTTCTCTGTGCTTCGATTTCCTTGGTTCATCAAACTAGTCAAATCTCCCTGTTCTCGTAGCACAAAACAACTTTCTTACACACAAGGCAGCTGTAACTTCATATAGATTTGTGTAATTGGAGAGGTTGAGACTGCAAGCTCCAAGAAGGAAGTAAACATATTAGTTTTTGTATCCCTAGCACCTAGCACAGAGCTGGACACTGACTGCGCACTCAATAAATGTTTGTTGACTGATTAATCATGTACTGCATGGTGATGAAAACAGGGTAGTTCTTGGAACAGCCCAGAGTTGTGCCCCACACCCACACCCACACCAATGATTTAATCTAATCCCTTCTTTTACAGAACAGGATACTGAGGTCCATCTGGCCTAAGGTCATGGCCACAGGCCTGACCTCCAGCCTCCTGACTTCCAGTCCAGATGAAAAATGGGTTCCTAATTAATTGTAGGCAAACTCCCCAAATTGTTGTGATCATCAGGTTTAAATTTATGCAGACTTTTTTCTGGTTGCCACACCAACGCATTACATGTGTTCTTCCTTGCTGCAGTGTCAGTTTTTAATCACAACCCGTATTATTGGGAACAGGATTGCATCAATTGAGGATGCTGGTTGCCATAACAATGGAAGTCTCTTTATACACACCAATACACACACACCATCCACTCGTTTTTCTCTCATCTCTGTCCAGACTGTGCTTGCTCTAGATTCCAAAAGGTTTATTTTAGGTACTCAGAAAATTAAAAGTGGTGAAACTACACAAACACAGCTTTTCAATAACGAATGCATCTTTTAGACAGGGGTTAAGACAGACTAGTGGAACCTAAGCTAGTGGGATGCAAGAATGAACAACTAATGTGGATCTGAGTTCCTGAGACATTATTTTTCTGCTCATGAACAGTATTTTGGTGGCCTTGATCCCTTTGTTGGCCTTCTTGCTTGAACACCTTCAGGGACGTGGAGCTTCTACCAAGTGGATGTGATTTGGGGAAGGCTCTGCCTCTAATATAGCCAGAGTTTGCTCCGCTGGTCCAGGCTGCCCTTAGAAGCAAGTGATTAAGTCCAATTCTTCCCTCAAGTGACAGCCCCCTTCTCTACAAGTTAATAGCCCCCAGTGTCTTCTCCAAGTTAACCCCCTATCCAAGGGTGGACCCCAAATTTTTTGAAATGTTGATGAATAGGAGCATGGATAAAACTGTTGTTCACAGCAGCTCACACCTTTCTGTTTCTAGAGGAGATTCTCATTCACCATTGGGACAGTCTATTTATTTTAGGAAAATCATCAGGGTGTGCCCTTTTTGTAAGTGGGAAAACACTTCTAGTTCCAGCAATATGGCACATTTTGCTAATAGGGAGCCCTTTCTAGCCTAAACACCCCCAAATCCTGGGTAAAATATTACAAGAAAGGGAGGAAGGAAGCAGGCAAGCCAAGAAGGAAGGAGAGTAAATTCACGGCTGAACTTGCAAGAAGGGGAAAGTAGCAGGAGCCAGAAACAAAGACAGAAATAGAGCAACCAGGGGGTGGCCTCAGGTCTCTCTTGTCCTGGAGGTGGTTACTGGATAGAGACAGGAACCAGCTGCTAGAGACTTGTGTGTCATCACACACAATGACACAATGATGGGATCTTGGGTCCACGTGTTACTAGGAGTTGAAACTGAATTCCCTGCATGAAGACTGGACACCTCTGACTGGACACTATCTACCTGGGCGGCCCATGGTGGAAAAAGCAGAGGAGACACAAGTTTCCAGATATGATTAGCTTCAGGTCCTGCTTTCCTCCTGGGTAGGGGTGTATGTTTTCCAAAGCGTCAGACTGATGAAATTTATGTTTGACTTTGGGAATTGAAGCTTATATTTGCAACCAGTAGGAAAATTTGTCTCAGTGAAGGCCAGAACATCAGCTAGCTCCATTTTCCTAACCTTGCTAAATATCTGAATCTTGTTCTCGATACGCCGATAGAATTCACGTCTTAACGATAGTACTGAGGAACTCAATGAAAAGAACCAGTGGATTAAGCTTATTAGTCTTTCATGAACAAATTACCACGAAGTTAGGGGTGCAAAACAACACAAATTTATTATCTTGTAGTTCTGGAGGTCAGAAGACCAAAATGGGTCTCACTGGGTCCCAAGATGTCAGCAGAGCTGCATTCCTTTCTGAAGGCTCTAGGGGAGAATTCATTTCCTTGTCTTTTTTCCAGTTTCTAGAGGCCATCCACAGTCTTGGACTTGAGGCTCCTCCCTGCATCGTCAAAGCCAGCAACGTCCGGTCAAGTTTTTCTCATGTCACGTCACTGTGACAATGACTCTTTTGCCTTCATTTTCCATCTTTTAAGGACCTTTTTGAATATATTGGGCCCACCCAAGTAATCCAGGAGTCTCCCTATTTTAGGTCAGCTGATCAGTAGCCTTAATTCCCCCTTGCCATATAACATAACATATTTCTAAGTTCTGAGAATTAAGATGTGGACATCTTTAGGGGATCATTTTTCTGCCTACCACATAAACAATAAAGCTAGTCAAATAAATGAGCCTCTTACAAAGTGCCCACATTCATAATCACCTTCACTGAGGGTAATATGGTCATTTTAACAATGCTAATTCTTCCAATTTGTGTACATGGTGTATCTTTCCATTTATGTTATCTTCAGTTTCTTTCATCAGTGACCTACAGTTTTTTTAGTATAGGTTTTTTACCTCATTGGTTAGATTTATTACTCTTCAATTTTGTTTGGAAAGTTTGAGTAGGAGAGGTGTTAACTCTTTATAAATGTTTGGTAGAGTTCACCTGTGAAGCCATTCGGTCCTAGGCTTTGGTTTGTTGGGAGTTTTGTTTTGTTTTAATTACTGATTCAATGTCATTTCTGGTAATTTACTGGTAATTGGTCTGTTCATATTAGATTGTTAGATTGCCATTACTTCCCTCTTAGAACTGCTTTTGCTGTGTGTGTCCCATAGACTTTGGATCATTAGGTATCCATTTTAATTTGTCTCCAGGTATTTTTTGATTTCCTTTTTGATTTCTTAGTGACCAGTTGGTTACTTAGTAGTACCACGTTTAGTCTCCACACATGTGTGTTTTTTTGCAGTTTTTTTCTTGTTGATTTCTACTCTCCTAGCATTGTGCTCAGAAAAGATACTTGATATGTGCACTTGAAAAGAATGGGTATTCTGCTACTTTTGGATGGAATGCTCCCTATATGTACCTATAAGGTCCACCTAGTATAAAGCGTAATTTAAGGCCAGTGATCCCTGTCTGGATGATCTGTCCATTGATGTTAATGGGTTGTTAAAGCCCCCTTCTCTTACTGTATTATTTTCGTCAATCTGCCTTTATTGTACGTTTGCCTTTACCAGTGAGATTTTTCCTTTTGTAATTTTTATATTTCTTGTTGTGGTCTTTTCCACTTAGAGAAGTCTCTTATGTTCTTTTTTTTTTTTTTTTTTTTTTTGTTTTTTTTTTTGGCCCAGGGAGGTAATTAGGTTTATTTATTTATTTTTAGAGGAGGTACTGGGGATTGAACGTAGAACCTTGTGCATGCTAAGCATGCATTCTACCGCTTAAGCTGTACCCTCCCCCCTCGTATGCATTTCTTTAAGGCAGGTTTAATTTTGTCTTTTGCTTGTCCATAGAACTCTTTTTTATCTCTCCTTCAAATTTGAATGATAGCCTTGCTGGGCAGAAGCTTTTTTTTCTTTTCATCACTTTAAACATATCACACCACTCCCTTCTGACCTGCAGAGTTTCTGCTGAAAAATCAGCTGAGGGCCTTATGGGTGTTCCACTGTATTTCCCTTGCTGCTTTTGAGACTCTCTTTGTATCCAAATTTTTGCTATTTTAATTACAGTGTGTCTTGGCGTGAACCTCTTTGGGTTAATCTGGTTTGGGATTGTCTGTGCTTTCTGGACCTGGAGTTCTGTGTTTTTCCTCAGGTTAGGGTAGTTTTCAGCTATTATCTCTTCAAGAAGATTCTCTGCCCCTTTCTCTTCTCCTTCCCCTAAAATGTGAATGTTAGCACACCTAGTGTTGACCCAGAGGTCTCTTGAACTATCCTCATTTTTTAAAATTCCTTTTCTGTTCAGCTTGGGTGATTTCCACTACTCTTCCAATTCACTGATCTGTTCCTCTATATCATCTAATCTACTGTTGATTCCTTCTAGTGCGTTTCTATTTCAGTTATTGCATTCTTCAGCTGTTTGGTTCTTCTTTGTATTTCCTAACTCTGTGAAACTTCTCACCGTGTTCATCCATTCTTCTTCTGAGTTGGTTGAGCATCTTTATGATCATTTCCTTGAACGCTTTATTGGGTAGATTGCTTATTTCCACCTTGCTTATTTCT